TATCAAAGAAAACATTCAGCCTTTGTTTTGGGGAGATTGGCTTGCTTCACTTAGCATTATGTTCTCCAACTTCATCTATTTACCTGAAAATGCCATGATTTTATTCTCTTTTAATGCTGAGTACGTTCCATTGTGTAAAAATACCAAAGTTTCCCTATCCATTCATCTACTGAAGGGCATCTGGGTTGGTTCCATAATTTAACTATTGTGAATTGTGCTGCTATAAACATTGATATGCTGTGTCCCTGTAGCATGCTGTTTTTAAGTCCTTTGGATATAAACCGAGGAGTGGGATAGGTGGGTCAAACAATGGTTCCATTCCCAGTTTTCCAAGGAATCTCCATACTGCTTTCCATATTGGCTGCACCATATTTGCAGATCCACTAGCGATGTATGAGTATGACTTTTTCCCCACATCCTCCCCACTTATTGTTGTTTGTATTCCTGATAGCTGCCATTCTGATTGGAGTGAGATGAAATCTCAGAGTAATTTTGATTTGCATTTCTCTAATTGCTAGAGATGTTGAACATTTTTTCATATGTACGAGGTTACATTTAAATTGACGGACTCTGAATGGAACTGCTTGTTCTCTATAGTGTGGGTGGGCCTTATCCACTAAGTTGAGGGCCCAACAGAACAAAAAAGATTGGCCTCCCCCAAGTAATGAGGAATTATCCAGCAGATCATCACATTGGAGTGAACTGGAACATGGTTTCTTCCCTGGAACTCCAACCTTCCCACCCATTCTGCAGATTTGGGGCTTGCCAGCCTACACAATTGCATTGAGTCAATTCCTTAAAATGAGTCTCTTTTTCCATATGGTGTATGTATGTGTATACACTCCCCCCCACGCATACATGCACATGTGCACATGCAAAACTGCACACTCTATTGGTTCTGTTTCTTTGGAAAGAAACTTTGTTATATATTGTCCTGTCCATCAGGCTCCAAATATTACTATGCAGTGTCCTTCCTGAGATAACTGTGTGGACAGGGTCTAAGCCCATCCAGAGGAGCAGGAAAGAAGGAGGAGAGATGCAGCTTATTGTATAAATGCTCTTGAGCCACACTCAGCAAGGAAGCAACCTAGAGATGGCCACTTCTACTCTCCCAATACTGCAGTCCCTGGCACTTTCCAGCATCACTGTCTCCTGAAAAGACACTCCCACAAGGAGAGGAGGAAAAGATTAGGCATCTTTTATGAAGCTTGCAGTCATCCCCGAGACAACTGGGATTGATCAAGAATATGTCCAAGGAAATCACACTGGGGTTGCAATTCTTGGTGGAAAAGCTCAAAGCATAGATGAGGACAGACCTTGAGCATCAGGAGCCAGCAAAGTTCCCATGAGGTTGATCTCACTGAGCACTGGAGGGCTTAGTAAGAACAGAACATGTGCCACATGCCATGTCCACCAACAGACAGGAATCTACCTTTCTTTCAGAAAAGAAGTGGAGATTTGGGGCTCTCAATAAGCCTTGGTGAATATAATTTATTTTGAATTTAATATAAATAAATTGCAATTAAAAAAAAAGAAGTAGTATATATTTGCTTTGGGCTACTTTGAGGTGTGTGATGCACATCTAGGAAGATGACTGACTCTTCCTTAGGAAAACCTGAGTGTATGTGGGTGGGCTAGAATGACCTGTTGTCTCCATCCTAGAACGTGGACAGAATGGGACAGACAGGCTGCAGGTCTCTACATGCAGATAATGTAGGAATGTTAAAATTTTTGATGGACACCCAAGAACCTGGGATATCAGTTAATTTGTAAAGGGGAAGGGAAGAGAGGAAGGATCTCAGAGGGGTTTGTGGGACCTCAGGGAGGTGTTACCCTGGGATCAAAGGAGTTCTGGCTAGTGAAGTGTAGGGTGATGTAAGGGAGAAAGAGATTCTCCCCTATCCCCACCCCCCACCTCCGCACTTAGTTCCTATGTGGGCTCTTTGGCTGGATGTAAAAATGCAATTAATACAAGAGTTGATGAACCAGAGGAAAGCATGAAAATTTTATTAAATTTATAGGCACAAGGGGATCTTTACAAAAGAGTGAAGTCCAAAAAAAAAAAATGATCAAAGCACATTTTTTTAATACGTTTTAGACAAAGAATGATAAGTTTGTGAAGGAATAACATGACAGATGGTTCTCTGGATTAGATTAGGGATGTTATTAAGCATCTATGGGGGGCATGTGGAAGCTTGTGGAAGATAAGGGTTACTTCAGAGTTTGTACATTCAGGTTCATGGTAGCCCCAGTTAGGAGCCTCTGGTGATTAAGTCTATTTTCCAGCCTCGGTGTATAAAGAACACCCCTCCCAGAAGAATCTTTAAGGCTTGCTGCTTGTAGAAGACAGGCCAAATGGCCCTTCCTGAACTTAGCGTTTCTCCAGTGATTTCAGCTTGAAGTAATCAAGACACCAGTTCAGCATATTTTGAGATGACATGTGCTTGCTTTCTTCTGCATCCATGTCTCGTGTTCAGTTTTAAAACCTCACCCCAGCTCTGTGCTCCCTCTATCCCCAGCTCCTTTGTGAACTTTGCTGTGAAATTTTGCTCCATGTTGCCTTGGTGGACCCATGTGCCATATGCCATGTCCACCAACAGACATGAACTTGCCTTTCTTTCAGAAAAGAAGTGGAGATTTGGGGCTCTTCAGTAAACCTTGGTGAATATAATTTCTTTTGAACTTTATATAAATAAATTGCAATTGAAAAAAAAACAGAAGTAGTATATATTTGCTTTGGGCTATTTTGGGGTGTGTGATGCACATCTAGGAAGATGACTGACTCTTTCTTAGGAAAACCTGAGTGTATGTGGGTGGGCTGGAATGACCTGTTGTCTCCATCCTAGAGTGTGGACAGGATGGGACAGACAGGCTGCAGGTCTCTACATGCAGATAGTGTAGGGATGTTAAATAAGGGAAGGTAACTTAGGGAGAGAGGACTGGGAGAAAGAGGACACCAAGGATGCATAAGTCCCCCCACATCTCTGCAGGTGCTTTTCTTGGAGCAGTCACACTTCTGATCACACATTGAGGATTACTGGGTTAGCACCTGCCTCTCCCACTCAGCCAGGAGTTTGAAAGGACAGGACTGTGCTTGCTTTGCTCAATGCCAAATCGTGTGTGTGTGTGTGTGTGTGTGGCATTGGAATTGAACCCAAGGGTGCTCTACCACTGAACTACAACCCTGGTTACTTAATATTTTTTTTTTTTTTATTTTGAGATGGCATCTCACTAAGTTGCCCAGGATGACCTTGAACTTGCAATCCTCCTGCCTCAGCCTCCTGAATAGCTGGGGTTACAGGTGTGTGCCACTATGCCCAGTTCACTACCAAACCTTATGTGCCACAAACGATACACAGATCTCTGCCCAAATGCTCAACTGCTAGTTTTCCCTGACAACTGGGACAAACAGTGACTGTTTATCTGATGCTTGGCAGTCCTTAGGCTGGCCTGGGACCCTGGCACATTGTTGAGAAGTGGAGTCTCCCAAGACCCACAAGTGTTGCCCTCAGTCCTGCAGAGGCCAATGGCAGGGCTGCCTCAGAAGCCTTGATCACCATCTTTGGCTTCATCTTTTTGTGCCACAAGGGACATCAAAAGACTAGTGATGCTCAAAGTGGCTGAATCAATGAGCCCAGATCCTGCATCCCGTGTGCTCCCTGGTTGTCTGCAGATTGTCTTCCATCCCCTTTCTGCATCTGCAGCTCCTGCCTTTAGCACCAGGACCTCTTCTCCTGGGTTCCAGCTGGCTGTGTGCTGCCTTGGTTCCAGAGAGGAGCACAGGGACAACCAGCACCTCCCACCAAGTCACGCAAACAGGTGGCAGTGAAGCCCTCATCACAGGATTCCTCCAGGCTCTAGTGCTGCGGGACAGATGCAATTGTGGCCACACCTAGGCCTTTAGTCTCAGAAATGCCACCTCATAGTTTTGGGTGAAGGTAGTGTGTATGGTTTTCCCATCACTTTTTGGTAGGAGGAATCCTAAACAGATGCTCATGATGGGTTCTGATTGCAAGCCTTAAGTGACTAAGAACCCTTTCCTATGCCCCACAGGCTCTAAGCAAAAAAGATGTCCCAAGAAGGGCTGGGACACACACTTGTGTCACATATCAGATGAAGCTGGTGTTTGAAAGCCACCTTTATAAAGGGGAAAAATGGGAAAAAGCCAGCATTTGAGGGTTGTAGTCCATTTTATGTTGCTATAACAGAATACCCGAGAATGGATAATTTATAAAGAGAAGATGTTTGTTTTGTTCTCAGTTCTAGAAGCTGGAAGTCTAGGAGCACAGTACCAGAATCTGCTCAGCTTCTGTGAGTGTCTCATGCTAATCATGCATGGTAGAAATTAGAAGGGTGAGCGAGCACAAGGGGAAGAGGAGAGGGATCAGACTCCCATGGTAGCTAACCTGGTCCTGTAAAACAGTATTAATCCATTCTTGAGGCTCCACCTCCATGACCCTGACACTTCACACTAGGCCCACTACTGAAAGCTGCTGCACTGGGGAATTAATGCCCAGCATGAGTTTTGGTTGGGACCTATATTCAAACCATAACTGGACTCAACTTGGTCTGGGTGGAACCCCAGCATCTGTCAATCAGCTTTGAATGTTTGCCATTTCTGAGACTATAGTGAGGATCATTTGATTACCTAGAAATTATTTGAGCAAAACTAACTTTACTGACTATCCTATGGGCACTGAATCAACAACCTCTTTCCTGACCAAGCTCATTTCTGCAAGAGGCTCAGAGTCAACAGAAGTATAGACTGATCTCTCACAGCAGCTTCACAAGGGAGATTTTGTTCCTAAATATGAAGTGGCAGTGGAGTTGCACCCACTCCTCCAAATCTCTGACCAAGTCAGTAGAAATTAGTGAGCTCTCCACCAATAGAATTTGGGTAAATTGGCTTTCCCAGCTATTATGGTCACTAATCAGATGCCTAATTTTGTTGAAAGAATCTGAATGACCCTTGCCCACTTCTATGTAGAGAAAACACTGAATTGTTACAAGGAAAACTGTCTTTATTCTACATATACCAAGTGCAGGCTTGTTGTGCATGTGGACCTTTCTTTCCATGACACCTAGGGAGCTAGGCACGAACTCCCAGATCCACAGTGAAGGAGTCCAAGCACAGGTTAAGTATCTTGTTTAAATTTATGCAGTTGGGATGGGTAGCACCAAGATACTAGCCCAGTCATATGACTCAGGGTCCACACTCTTTTAGCCATGACACCACATGGCTGTTTTGTGGAGTCTGTGTGCTGAATCTGGGTCAGATGGGCTGAGGCTCCAGGTTGAACCCACTCAGCACCACCCCCATGATGCTGCAATTCATTTAGTTTCTTCAAAGGCCAGGGCCCTCTGCAGTGGTGAGGCTTTCAATACAAAGATAGACAGGAGAGATTAATTACTAAATGGTGAAAAGCAAAGGGATGCCCAGTGGCATTATTGCTCAAAAAGCCCCCAAAGAGAGCAGCAGCTCCCTGTACTAACAGGAAACAAGATTTTGAATCCCAGCACCATGTGAACAAGGGTGCCCAAATTGTCCCCACCCCCTTTTTGAGGGGGATACTGGGGATTGAACTCAGAGGCACTCAACTACTGAGCCACATCCCCAGCCGTATTTTGTATTTTATTTAGAGACAGGGTCTCACTGAATTGCTTAGCTCCTTGCTTTTGCTGAGGTTGGCTTTGAACTCCTGATCATCCTGCCTCAGCCTCCTGAGCCGCAGGAATTATAGGCAGGCGCCACCACACCCGGCATGTGTTTGTTTTTATTAGGAGGAAAGTGTATGCTGTAGTGACGCAGAGGTAACAGATGCTGGCCCTTACAGGCATGACTTCTGATGAGGGAGGCAGGTGCTCCCCAGAAGAACAGAATTTCTCACCATGATTCTCAAATCCCCTTGGCTATTGTTCAATATGTACTCACTGCAGCATGGAACACCATCCAGGACAGACCACATGCAAGTGTAATAATTGTCAGCATCCCTTAACAAAGCACCACAGACCGGGCAGCTTCACCCGCAGAGCTGCCTCGCAGTTCTGGAGGCGGTCAGTGTCCAGATTTCCCATTTTTATAAGGTCATCAATCATATTGGAGGGGGGCCTCCTACAATGCAGCACAGCCTCCTCTTAACTAATTATATCAGCAATGACCCTATTTTCAGGTAAGGCCACATTCTGAGGTTAACTTTACCATATGAATTTTGGAGGAGATGCTACTTGACCTGTTATACTCACCAAGAGTACAGGGTGTAATATTTCACTGTACTGAACATGAACTTTCCTGTTGTCCCTGATTGCAAAGTGTCCATTTGAAAGTTTTCACCTTCCAACCTGGTAAATGAGGAGAGAGTATTAAAAACATCTGCATACAAGTCCACACCAACAAAAACAACTGAGTTCTTGTCCCTCCTGAGATTTAACAAAAGGGGTTGGAGTGAGGAGTTCTATTCTTTGGCCAGACTTTGGCATGTCCCTTTTGTGACTTGTGGCCATCTCCCAAACATCTCCCCCAAATCCTTGGGCCCATATAACAGAATGTGGGCAGTGGATTTCTGACTCTTCGTTAACAAAATGGGGGTGATAAAAGTTTATTTCCAAGACACCAAAGAGGTCAATGGTACAATAGGTATGAGAATGATGGAGAAGCAACTTGGTACCCTGTAGCCCTGGACACTTTTAAATAAAGACTGGCATGTGTGGCAGTGAGCAAAGGGTGTTGTACCCATGGGCAACCTTTTTCTCATTCAAACTTGAATATAAATCCTTTCAGGCTTTCTGGGTGGCAGCTGATGCCAACCCTACCAAAGAAACTTTTTTTTTTCTTTTTACCAAATAAATTTTTTGAGTAAGGGAAGAGGTAAGAACCAACAGGTGCAAGAGGGTATTACTAATCTATGAAATTTGTACCCAGATAACTTTATCACACTTCTCTCATTTTCATGTAACTTGATCATCTTTGGACATTATTCAGCTTTGCTTTTACAAAATCATTAAAATATAAAGCCACACCATTTAACAAGAGAATATGTACTTTGATACTTGAATAATTTTGTAAATTTTGCCATTTGGGACCAGGTGATGAAAATGGTGCTTTGTCAAGTGGGCCAGGTCATTTCCCCAGTGTCAGTTGCTACCCTCCACAGGCTGTACCCCAAAGAGGGGAGGACAAATGACTACAAAATGAGGTTACAGAGTGGTAGTTGTGAAACTTCATGGAAGGGTAGGGACTGTGGGTGCTTCACAGGGCCAGGAAGGCTTTCCAGAGAAGGTCACCTGCTGAGGAGTCATTCCAGAAAGCAGAACTAGCTGGTCACCAAGTGTTTCCTGAAGGCCTTAGGTATGAGCTATTGGGTAGATGGGTTGGGAACATATTCCTACTTTAGGCAAAGACCATAAGGCATCATTCTCCTCAACTCTCTGGTTGAAGCAAGTGAAAAGAAAGTTGATAGGTGACCACGTTGAATCTTTTACAAAAATGGCAATTCATGGAGCCCAAGCTAATACTAGTGCCAAAGAAAATGGAAACACCACCAATTCTAATCCTTGGGCCCATATAACAGAATGTGGGCAGTGGATTTCAAGCTATTAGAATTCCTGGGATCTTCTAAAATAGACCAATACCTGGAAAGAATCAATTAAATCAGAGTTTCTGTATGGTGCCTCCTGAAGTGTGCTTAACCTCTTCTGGTTACCAGTATTTCTTTCTTTCTTTCTTCTTTTTTTTTAATCACAGTTGTCATGCAGTCACATATATACACACATAGTAATAATAATGTCTGTTTCATTCTACTATCCTTCCTATCTCCCCAACCCCTCTCTACCTAATCTAGGGTAATGCCGTTTTTTTTTTTTCACATCTTCATACATGTATTTTTGTATAACCATGAGGGTCTCCTTCCACCATCCATGCAATTCCCTTTCTCCCTCCCTTTCCCTCCCACCCCTCTTCCCTATGTAGAGGTAATCTTCTTTCCATGCTCTTCCTCTCTTCCCCATTTTGAGTCATCCCCTTATATCAGAGAAGACATTCGCCATTTGTTTTTTGGGGATTGGCTAACTTCATTAGCATAATCTGCTCTAATGCCATCCATTTCCCTGCAAATGCCATGATCTTATTATTTTTAGTGCTGAGTAATATTCCATTGTGTATATATGCCACATTTTACCCATTATTTCATGGGACACCTAGTTCTTGGTTTATCCCCATGATCATAGAGGGGGCAATTACCTGGGATTTTCGCTAAAGGAGGACAGAATTAACGACCCTAGGGCCCCATCCTGAAGTATCAGCACAAAGTTCTCTCACCTCCAGTAAATGTAACCCCATGCGCTAGTGGGACTCTCCCTACCATTTACCCTCTGAAGATAGAAAGTATCTCTCCCTCATTTGGGCATCCACCTGTCCTTAGGGCAAACAGCATCGCTGTCTCATCTGTCATCTCTCCCCTAATCCCTGCGCCTACACCTCACATCGTGATCCCTGGAAAGAGCAGTGCCAGGACCCTATTCTGGCTTAGTACAGCAATAGAAATGATCCCTCAGTCGAAACCCCAGGGGTTCTGCCTCCGGAACTTCACCCAGCCCCTCCCCACATCTCCACGCCTGCAGCTCCCGCCTGCTCCCGAACACCCAGAGGAGTCTTGGAAGGATCCTCCGTAAAAGATCCCCGCGTGCGGGCTGAGGGGCCCGGGTTCGAATGCCATAGGCCACTGCCACTCTCCTCTCCGCTCTGGGGTGGGGTGGGGGAGCGGTTCTTTTTCGTTACACCCGGCCCTGACTCTGGGTCCACAGCCCGAGCCCCGGCTCTTTTCGAGTGATCTGTTTTTATTTGGGGAGGGGAAACACATTTGGCAGGACTACCTCTCCCTCCACGAGGAATTTCAGCGTTTTTAGCGTTCCACAAGACTCCCAGGGGGTGGGTTCTACTGTGCACGGGTGGGGAAACTGAGGCTCAGAGGGATAAGGGAGGTGCCAAGGTCACGCGGCCCCTTTGACGGGCGGGGACGTGGGGCGCTGAGTTGGGACGCGGGCCGTGCGCATCCAGGACCGCTGCTCCCGGGGATCGGTTGTCGCAG